GAGGAGGTGGAGGAGGTGGACATGGAGGAGATGGTGGAGGCGGACACGGAGGCGGTGGAGGCGGTGGTCACGGAGGACATGGTGGAGGCGGACACGGAGGCGGTGGTGGCGGTGGTCACGGAGGACACCATCGACGTTGAAAAAAGACATATGAAATTTTGTTTTGATTCGTTGATGTATTTGTTTTGTATTCTATCGTTGATTAATTTTAGACAATTTATTGGAATTTGTCGTGTTCCATGTTTTCAGCTTGATGATTAAAAGATTTAACCTAATTTGATGGTTTTATGTACAGTTTGTCCTTACCCCTATGTTTTAAGAAAGAAATATGAAACTTGGGTAGAAGAAAAATGTTCATTATACTTTCATACACTTTCCTTATACTTTCATAAACAATTAAATTTTGTTTATCATCTGTTCCAAAAATAGTAAAACATTGTTTCATGTTGTAAATATCTTGAAATTACTAATCCCTGTAGGACAGAAATTTTAAACAATTTATATTTTACGCAGAAGTTTGTAGAATATATGCTATAGCGAACAATTGAATGGTATCGCTGCGAATCCAGACACACTCTTCCACGATTATTGGGAGTGGAGATACACCACGGACCAGTGACAAATTAAAGAAAACCGATATGTTTACCGTACGCGGAGTTCTCGGGCTGTTGATATTCCTGGCAATTTTGGCGGCGGAGAATTTTGCCGCCTCTCATTCTGGCCATTACGAGAAGATCGGAGAGGGCGATCATCACTCTGGTCACGAAAATCGGTATGGTCTCGCGGTCTCGATAATGCTGGCTACAACAGCTGGCAGGACTTTGAGAGCACAACACTGAGACAACAACGCTGATCCTACAGCGAAGACGGCAGCGAGAGACGAAAGAATAATCATAGATAAGCATCAGAGTTCTCGAAGAGCTTCTACGCGTATTCATTCTGTTTCTTCCTCTTTGTTAGAATGCACCACCAAGCTGTTCTTTCAAATCCTGTTCGAATTGAATCGTGTTTTCATAGGTTCCTCAATTGCTTCGCAAGCTTTGAAACTTCTTCAACAAGCTGGATAATTTTCATATGGGCAACATGTGTAAATGTTTCGTAGCGTCTAGACTATGAACACTGTGATTAAAGTGCCTACTATCTGGCCACTTTTGTGTCTCTCCATTAGTTCGGATACGGGAGTCTCGACCGTATCTTTACCGTAAGTGGAACTCGGCAGATCCGAAATTACGGAGGGAACACCGTACTTTCAAACACACAACCGTTTCTGGTTTGGTCCACCGTATCTTTCCCGTAAATTCATCTACTTTTCACTCGTGGCAGTCCCAGCAGAACGTGCCCGTCGTAAACAGCGAACATTTCCAAAGATCAAGCGCGGCGAAAACATAAAGCAGAGTCCACCGAAGGCGGGCAATGAAAGAAAAATAATTTCCAACGCTGGGGAAACGTTGTGATACGTAACCCATAAAAACTTTCCCACCGCGTCGGTTAGCGGGGCGGCGAAAGAAACGGTGGAACGAAGTAATAAAACGGCGTACACGTGTTCGCGGGGCCGTTGTTTAACATTTCAACGCATCATAATAAATTTTTATGTTCCTCGCGGCTCCTTTGAAACGGGACCGGCTCGTCGCGGGCGTATTCTACCATCGCGAAACACGTACACCCATGCGCGAGCGCGCACAGGTACGCGTTTCTACCATTTTTCCATTTTCTTCTCGCGCTCGCGGCGTTTTCGCTTTATCGCGCCGCGCGTGTCCCAGGCTCGCTCGCTCGCTCGCGTTCGCGCTCGCGCTCGCGCGTGCACCCGCCGCGTACCGACGCAACGGATACAGGGGCTGAAAGGAGGGTCAGGGAAGCTGGGGCCGCGAGATGGGTGGTGTGGCGCGGCGAGAACGAGAAGAGTTGCCAGGGATTTCAGGCGCATTCAGCGCGGCGCGGGTTTGATTAACGATTCCGCCCTCTGCAAATGAAATTGCCGTGGCCATTTGTGGGTCTATCTAGACTGGATTCCGGTGCACTGGACACGGATTAACGGTGCTTTATACGCTTCTTTTAGGGCGTGCCGGTACGTTGCAGCCGTTCGCGATCACGGTTACCCATTCTCGGGCCGGAGATTGCGTAGAAGCGAGCGCCTCTACTTGAAATTCTCTGGCGTGTGACAATTCCGCGCCGCGGCCACCTTCCATCCCTTCCTCCTCCTTCTCCTCCTCCGTCTTCCTCCCCGCAGCCCTCGACCGGGCGTTCCACGGCCATTGTTCCATTCCGTGATGCATGTACGTGTGGCTGGCTTAATTAATCTAATTGGAGTGGTCGCGCGACTGGCAAAAGAAAAGAAGGAACGCCGGCCGACCGAGTGCTGGAAGAAGCACACGCGTATACCGTCGCCCTTGTAAAGGGGCCAGAAGCATCCGGCCCTTGCCAACACCCCCTTCCGCCCCGGGGCCTTCGATCGATCCCACAATAATACTGTCGTTTGGCCAAATTAATGAGAACACTCGAGCCACCGCGTCGGTGCTCGTCTCCCGCGAAGAGACCGTCGGCGCACCGCGAGGCGGCGCGACGTCGAACAACGAGAAAAATTAACCGGGTCTTTCGCCCTGGAACGGGGGTCCTCGACGCACGCCGGGCGGCTTGCTGCAGGCTGAGGGATTCTCGTCGCGATACTCCTGTTTCGAGATAGCGTGATATCGATCATTTATCGACGCTGAGAATACGGCTCTTGATTCGAGATATTGATTTACGTGGACGGGGCCTTATTGGGTATGTTACATCATCGAATCCGATATGTAGCAACGATGTTCGGTTGAATTTGATAAATGCGTTTAATCTTCGATGCGTGTCGATGGAAGGAATTATATTGGTTTGTGACTATGAATATCGGAGTTTTTAAATAAATACAGTGTCGGTCCTGCAACTTGCGCATATCGAATGCCTATGAAATTGTGCGGTTTATGAAAAATTTGTTATTACAATGTTCTCGCTTTTCCTGAACTTAGTGCACGAATTTTTCTATGATATATGATTATTTAATTTTTTTTTTAGTTTTTCAGTGCCTGTCTCTCTTATATTTCGTTTCTTTTTTCCGATATTCTTATGTTCTCTACCGTTATGTACCATGAGCGGTCTCTTGACAGCTGGAAAAGTGTATCAACTTTTACAACGATATCAGCACTGAAATCATAAACTTATCGTTAACGTTAGCTTCTCCGAGTCGCAAGTCGCATGCTTGAGCACAGTTTGTTTAATGAAATGTTCGCACCAGTGTTAAATGTAATTCACCCTATATATGAACACACAATGTCTTTTGATACGAACCATTTACAACAACGAAATAATTTATGCTAAATAAATCGTAAGATCGGATTGAAATGCATTGTAAAAGCAAACGAAAATAGTAATACGTAACGAATACAACAATAATCCAAAGATACGATGTAAAGAACTTATATTCTACTGTGCAACACAAATCTTTACTACGGGGAAAAGGATTTTCTTTTAAATTAAATAACACTTCGTTAAACGTTATCATTCTCCCCGTTCTGTTGATTCGAATCAATTTATATGTGTGCTTGCTGTTGAATAAACGATGGTATCGATTAAGCTCGATAAAGATTCTTAAAGATTAAAGTCGATTCTATTTCGAAATGGTCTCATTTTCGTCTACTTCGTGTTTCTACATTCAAACAGAAATAGATTCAGGCGTGAATTCGGTTAATCTCGTTTCGGGAGTTAACACGATCAGAGTATCCACGCATAATTAACAGCATCGTTACATATTCTGGAACTAGACACGATCTTGTTACGATTAATTCATGATTCGAAGTCCTAACATATAAAGACGAGCAGGCGAAAGAGTATAAATAGAATTTTAAACAAAATAACGTGTCCGGCAACGAGCGTTTCAACGGACGCATAGAATTAACGAGACAGCCAAAATGTCCGGACGGGTCTGACTTATTAATTCCCCAGATATTGCGGGGATGTCGTGACTGGATAATTCGTGAGGAGCACCTAGCTAACCGGTTTTGTTTTACTGAAATCGAGTCGCGAACGAAGCTGCTAATAGAGTTTACACCGGCGCGGCGCGCAAGTAGAAGGTAACGAGGACTTGGTATGCGAGTCAGGGACAATGGGAAGCATTTAAATGAAAGGAAACGTGTAAATTCTGGCTGCGACAGACAAAAAGGCGCATTCGGAATACGAATATATAGCATACTGGTCATATGTTACGACGGTGTCGCTCGTGTATCGCGCACGAAACTCCGAGAATGAAATTTGAAAATTAGCCGGCGAGACTGTGCGTCCCCCCATTCTCATCGGTGAATAAATGTTTTAACTCGGTAAGTATACTTACTCCCTCTATAAGTTTTGCAATTCATTCGTAGATTTTCCTTCTTTGTATCATTTTACTATCGGCTCTCTTTCCGATTTACTTTTTTTTCTGATCTTGTTCGCGATTCGTTTCGCAAAAATTCGATTTAAAATAAATTGCGACGCGAGTTTTGAACATCGTTTATCTTAGACAATGTTTGGCTGTGCATTATATCGCTGCCTAAGAAATATTATTATTACGACCAGTACTCTTACAGTTCGAATAAACACTTTCTAACTCGGATACACAACGAAAACTAAAAAATATCCGTGAATTAGTAAGGAATTAAAAATTCATCTAATTACGAAACATTCAGATATCGTAAGAATTATTTTTTAAATGTAATTATTTAGATTCAGGTTTCGAAATAAACTTCTCTGTTAATATATTGGATGTATCAAAGGTTAGAGCCGGTGAAATATGGTGACAAATAGGATGCAGTATTTTCCTTTATCCTTCTGCAAAGCCGCTTGCAGAAGGCGGATAAAAATGATCGAGGAAGAATAATAGATGTAATAATAAAATAATCCCGTATTAACTGAGGAATGTTCGATAAAATATTCGCAGGAGGACGAAATAATGAATAAGCCGCGTACTTGCAGTCTCTTGGTGGAAATTGCGCGATAAGACTGCGCAAGCAAACCTTTGATGTTGTATGCCAACCGGATTAAGTGCTCCGAGTACGCTTACGTTGTTTGCGTATCCGAGTTCCTGTATTATTCTATAAGTCTTCTTGCTGTCGCTGTATACATACGCGCGTTCCACAATCGTTTAATTAAAAAGCATACATTTTTCACGCGCCGCATCGTATTGATCATCGCAGAAACGATGGAACGCTCTCCATCGGAAACGATCGCGTTCCACGGTAGAACCGGGAACGAAATCGCGCGTTAAAATAAAAATTTGATCAATTGTAAATCACTTTGACCGGGCCGAATATAAAAGCGATTCACCGACAAAAAAATCCGAGAATAATCCGCGATTGCTTCAATTCCGAAAGCGATTAAAAAGGTGCGCTTTTAATCGGGGTCTTTGTGAGAATTCAATGAAATTATTGCCGCGTTCTCTAAATCGCGATACTATCGAATGAAATTCCACCGGCGATTTCACTGTGATGCCGGACGGAGAGACACGGACATAAATAGCGAAATTGTACGGATTACAGGGCGACACAATCCTTGCGCCGCGCTGATTCAAAGCGTTTCGTGCTTGCGTATGTTTTTTCCCCTCCATGGCTCTCTCGATTGCTTATCCAATTTCGCCGGACACGTTGTTCTCGGCTCCCGCCCCATTACGTAGACGCTCCTCGCTCGCGACACCGTGCAACGCCGGTGGCGTGCGTCCTGTAAATTCGAGCACGTGTCGGTGACAGTACGCGCAACGCACTGCCCTGCAGGTGCAAATAAAGCCCTCGAAGGAGTGGGAACATACGTGGCAGGCCGACACAGCCGGATAGGTAAATAGAAAGAAACGCGATGGAAACGCGAGCGCAAACACCAACGCGATTAATACGTGGATCATGAAAAATTGGTAAAATCCGACGCCGCTCGTATACCGAGGGAAATTCTGCGACGACTCGTGTAATGGAGCGTCCAGTTCGTAACGATGGATCTGTGTGATAATCTGTTACACAGTTTATGCATTACTATTTAACAAATTTCTTACAGCGTTATGAACATTTAATGTCATAATTATATCAGCCGACCAAATTAAACAGCACGATCAAATGAACTAATTAGGTAATCGTTACGTAGATATAAAACGTGCAATAAGTTCCTCCATTTTGGATTATGTTAAACTCCGAAGGAATTTTTAGATATTCCGCAATTTTACGAATGCGTATCCATACATGAGAATGTTTCGAATTAACGAAATTTGCTATGAATTGAACGGGAGTCGTTTCCACAGATTGCACGGTTGCAATTATGTACTCCGAAAGATACTTTGTCGCGTTCTACAATTGGAACACTTTCGTCGATGCGTATGTTAATACATGCATAATGGTCGAACGTGTAAAATCCGGAAGAGATTACCGAAATTTGTCGATTAAAATTCATTACAGCGCTTCCGGGCATCGAAGCGTAAAATTAAATCCACGAAGCAAATCAATCGGCGAGATTCGTTAATACTCAGACAACATTGTTACACGTCGGATTCGTAATGCGAATGGCGTGAAGTCGGCGTAAACAAATTAGAGACACCGGATCGGATTCGGTCGTACCGTATAAATGCATAGCTTATATTATAATCGAATAACGCAATTACATGCGGCTTGGCCTAGGGAAAATCCATTGAGCATGTGTTATTTATCTGCAAATTTAACCGCGTTAACTCGCAATACGTGTTTCGGACGAACGGTGCATTAATATTCGGAAATCAATTGAATCGGTAACGCGACCGATTAAGCTCTATCACTGGCGTATTACCGACTTTCTCGGTGAGTGACTGAAATCATACACAGTGGCTTGCGAACCTAGCCGAATACTCGATATTCGACTTTCAAACAACAAGTAACGTTGCGACTATTGTAAAACCTAAGTGTCAGGATTGTTACAATACTTTTAAAGTAAAACTGCCTTCAAAAGTCACAGATGTATTCGATTAAAATTATATTTACTTATCGCCCAGATTTTGTGGTACCAAGTATTATATTTCTCGAAAAATAATGGACAAACTTGAAATATTATCTATCCGAATTTGACGCAACAAATAGCCAATAGGAAACATTGGATCCATCTCGTATATAATTTCAGAGATAATATAATATAATTTCACACACTTATATAGTAATATATTACACTAAAGAGACAGAAGAAATATAAAAGAGCAAGAGTAAATATAATACAATTATTACTATACCTTTATTATGGATTCTGTCAAAATGAATAATTTTATTTTATATAATGTATTGCTAATGCATTTTCTATTTTTATGTTCTTGATTTGGTACCTCGTTCATATAATATAAGAATTTAAAATTAGAAAATATATTAACAACACACAAGTTGTATAAAATGAAATAATTAATTTTAACAGTATTCATCGCACAAGTATCGCGATACGTGTATTTCCGTTTGAAAGAGCGCGGAAGAATGGCGCTAACTTTCAAAACTTAATCTCGGCATGCAGATTTTTATCGAGTAAAGTTTTAATAGCCAACGTTCGAAGATTTTCGTGTGCCACTGTACGTACACGACCGCTACGTTGTCCTCATTGCGCCGGAAGCGTGTTCACTTTGCAGGCAGCAACACCGGAAACAACATTCGTATTCCATGGGACCGAGTTTAGCTTAACCCGGAGACATCCCCGCAACGTTAAAAAATGCGGCGGGTCTTACCAGTAACATGGAATCATGTTTTATAAATATTTCCCTACGCGAAAACAACGACTGCATTCGTTGAGGAAAAAATTAGAGAAACACGTGCAAGCTTATTAATATTTCCCTGGGCTTTTCGCGTGTTCGTGATTAACAGGTCGAGCAGAGGAAAACGGTGCATTATTCTCGAGTGAAAAGCTGATAGATAATGCTTCTCGGGTTGAGTAATACGAATGTTATGAGACAAGCATGAGACGAGAATAAACTCCGATGGATCGCGGTAAGGAAGGTGAAAACGGAGCAAATCGGTGTATGGTTCCTTTCTGGTGGCCCCCGCTGCACAAGTCTGTTCGTGTAAATAATGTATTTATACAGAGACGGGCATAATACATGGATTCGCGATACATTATTCCGTCGCCGCTTCGGAAAAACTTAAGACTGACAGCTGTGAAATATTTGAGGCGCTAGACGCGAAGAGCAGCGTAAAGAACGTTCCATTACACAAGTATCGTGGTAGATTGCGGATACGCTGCACGCTAGATACAATGTCCAAAGTAAAAGCAGCGTTACATAAATAATGACGCGGGAGCGTCGGAAGAAACGTTGTTGGCAGGCCCGTTTCACGCATCAGAAAATAGGTTCGAGAGGCGCAACGACCGTTCCGTGTTATAAAAATCTTCATTTATTATTCTTCTCTTAACCAGCTAACAACAATCATCTGGCTGCGCAAATCGCTCAACATCGATTCGTAACGTAGCCGTGTCGCGAAATCGGACTCGAGACATTCGCATCGATCAAACGTTTAGAATCTAACGCTCTAGGTAAGATCCGTCTTTCGCGGTCCATCGTAGCGGTCTCGACCTAGCCTCCTCAACCTTTGTGCCCTTTGCTGTATCCGAACTTCTTGCCAGAATGGTGATCACCTTTCTTTCCAAACGAATCACGATGGCTGTAATGATCGTCGTGCCCGTGCTTCCCGTGATGACCTTTGCGCTGCTCGTCGATATGTCCTTTATCGTGATGCCCTTTCTTCCCGTGATGGTCCTCGTGATAACCGGAGTGCTGATGCGCACCCTTCTTGTGCTCGCCCTCTTTCTTCTCGTGGTGTCCATGGAAGTCTCCGTGTTTCTTATGGTGTCCACCTTTGTGGTAATCGTCGTAGAACTTGTGCTCCTTGTGGTACTCGTCCTTGTGGAACTTGTTATGGTATCCCTTGGTCTTGTGGCCTTTCTTGTGCCCCTTTTTCTCGCCGAACTTGCCACCCTTGTGCCCCTTCTCTCCTTCGCGGTGCTCGCCGTACTTCTCGTGCTCGTCATGGTGGCCTTTCTTATCGCCACCGTGTTCCTCGTGGTGACCGGAGTTGTGGTGCTTGTCGTGCTCGCCTTTGTCGGCTTTGTCGTGGCGATGGTGGCTCTTGTAGCCTTTCTCGCCCTTGGCACCGTGCTCCTCGTGGTGGTCCGAGCGATGACTCTTGCCGCCGCCGGACTCGTGGTGATGACCGTGATGACCCGATGCAGCCGCGGCAAGGTCGTCGGAAACGTCGTCGTCGGTCACGGAAACAGAAGTCACCGCTGTGACCAGCTGATAGCCGTTGGTATCTTCCGGTTTTGCTTCCCGGCGAGCACGGCGCACGCTCGGCTCTCGCGCGTCGCACGACTGCTGCACCAGCAGACAGAAGATCAGGGAACACGCGAGCCGTAGCATCTCGATTCGATCTCGATCATCCGACTGGTGACCGACGCCGACAGGAGGATACTTAAATATCCACGGTTCGACTGTTCCCATCGATTCCACTTTCATTCGCGCGACCGCAAGCCTTCCTCGACTACTCGGCTGTGGGGAGGGAGGACGTTTCACACTTTCTCGCAATTCTAATGAAATTGTCCACTGTTCTTTGATACGGACACTCGGTGGGCATGCTAGTTCGGCGTCGGTCGATGGCCGATAGATCGATGACACAATTAGGATCGATGGTTCTCGAATTTGTCGGTCGAGTGACGCGCGATGACGGTTCAAGGGGAATCGTGATCGGAGATGATTTCCATGTAAAATATTATCAACGAACCTCTTGCCTCTTAATTTCATTTCGAAATTTTCGATCGAAGCATATTACGTAGTTTCATCCGATGCTGTAGAGAGACAACGTAACAATGCAAAATAGAATTTGTAAATAAATATGTTCAACTATGATGAGAAGATAAAAGCTATCAAGTTTGGCATTCGAAAGTCGTGACTAGACTGCGAATCTTTATGCAAAAATGTTTGAGCGAAATACAGAGCAATGAAAACACTAAAACCATTCACGAAAATCTTGTTATACAATTTTCAATTTATTGAAACCATCGAAAGGAGATGTACATCTTTATTTCACTCTTCTTCGGTTCGATTCGTGACATCGTTATAAACTCAGCTGTAAAATGTATACAGGATGTGAATGAGATTGTCACTGCATTATCGATTATATTTTCGAACTTTCAGTGTTGTTGCTAATATCAAGGCGAAACGATAAAATATTAGGTAAATTAAAGAGAACATTGTCGTAGAAAATTAGCTTATGCGAATGAAATTACGCGTACAAAATGACTATCTTTGATATACAAAATATTTGTTATTCATATATAATGAAATAAACGAAAGCAATTGCGTCATAGCGCGGTATCTGTATGCCATGCGATGTACATAATAAGTGCTGGAAATGTAATTAATTTTCTCGTAGACAGTGTTTCCACTAATGATGTTATACATGATGTTGCTATAATAATGTCATTATTAACTTTGGCTGACGGGATTAACTTCGTCGACTATTAACTTCGTCGCACGCTGTGCGAATCGATCAATGTTATAAATTGTTATGCTATGGAATAAAACGTATATAGTGTCGTATATAAAAATTTGAGATAACTTTGATTTATTAATTTCTTTTTTATTCTTTGGTAGACTGCAAAGAGTTAATTTCGCTGCCTATTATATGTCCAGTGGATGTCTCAACGTGTACAGTGTGTTCGAGCAACTCCTAAACTACGAACCCAGCCTACCTCTTAATATACAGTGCTCGACTACGTTCTAGCCAATCAAATTATAGAAAATCATGCAAAATTACACCTAAGAAGTATCTGCCAATTTTTTAATTTTTTAATCAGTCACTAAGCCGCAACAATATATACTGGTTAATAACTATCCCTAAAGAGCGCGAATGCTTTCTTGCCTACCACAGAGTTTCTCTATAAAACGAACGTTCGGATCGCGACTGTCGGCGCGTGACCAGGTCAGTCGTTCAAAAAGTTTGATCGTTGGAACTTTCTAAACGATAGAATCGATCGCGTTGCATAATTTATAGGAGGTAGCTGCGGTATCGATAGCGAATCAAGGCCCGAGCGAAGCTTCGTTACGAACATACGCGATAAATAGAAGCACCCACAAAAGCTCGTGAACCCGATCGATGATCGAACTTGCTCGGCACACCAGGTGTTCGTACAATGAATTTAATTAACGGCATGACGAACGAGCGGTATCGCGATCGGTGCACGATTCCGTCGTGTCTTCGTGGACGGTGCGCGCATCGATAAACTGCCTAATGTCGTCGCTAATCGCATTACGCGCGTCATAAATTCGCGTCCTCCTTTTTTGCATACGCGTGCAGGTGGCGCTGTTTATAATGAGATCAGCCAAAAAACAATCGATTGAATTTTCCAAATGCCGGCCGGCTTCCACATATATCACGGTGCGATCACCGTTTCTCTTCGTCCCTATCGCTTCGCTAACTGTTCGACCATTTATTCTGGCTCCGCTGACGGTTTTATCGGGCGACCTTGCAAAATCTCGGACCGACTCAATATCTTTAAAATATTAGCTCCCGGTCAGCGTGTATCTCGGCGGTTAAATCCCATCAAGATTTAAGTGGATTCCGCATAATTGACCACTTGGCTTTGAAATGTTCGAACCTTGGTGCGTTCAATATTCGATTTATTCGTATCTACAACCAGAGACCAAAACTAAATAACGTAATTTTACTCCTAGGAATTTCTTAGTTGAAATGGATTACGTGAATCCATCAGCGGGACTAGACCAAAGTCAAGAGGACTGTAAGTGTAGCTTAAAGTGGTAAAGCCACTCGCGGAGTACCCAGGCGATTAGCTTATACCTCTAGTTGGAAAAAAGAGGGCAAAACAACGACTCAAGGTGGACGAGTCAGATAAATTACACTGTAGCCTGCTAATTAGTTTGCTGAGTTTAATCAAGGAGTGTGCAGTCCTCTCCTGTGAATATTGCGCCGCTTGCCTAATTACTTGATGGATCGCTCAATTTATACGTAGTGGAAATCTTGAATTTATAATGATTCGTAACAACGATAAATGTTAGAAGAACTTGATACATTAGAACTCTTTCGTATCCGAAATATCCTAGTCAAGTTCAGTTTGCTCAAATATATAATACAATGCAAATGAATGTTCAAAATTGGTAAAAAAATTAGTGTCACCCATCTGTGACCGTCGCAGCGCTCAACATGTTGAAGCGTATAAAAGTATATATCACGATAATCGTATACGTACAAATTTCATTTAATTTTCTATAAAATTTCTTCAAATTGTTAAATTTAATCGATACGTAACAGTAACGCATTTCCATGCAACAAAATTGTTATTATTATTATTATTATTATTATTCAGTTAAATATTGTTATTTAAAAGTGCAAATGCTTTCGTCGTTCCACAAGCGCTCCAGAAAAAATATTCTCGTTACCGCTTTTAATACAATTTTATTCGTCGCAGCATTTTTATTATAAAATGAGAAAAATACATTGATATAATAAAACATGAATTTATTTCGTGAAAATCGTATCGAGCCAATGCTTTCAACCTTCGCCGTGCATTTACAGAGAATCCGCGGTCCGGCCATAAAATATACAGAAGTATTCCTATAAAAGTGATTTGATTAAACAGAATGGAGAAGTCTTAATGGGGGGAAGCCTGCACTCCGGTTCAGAAATCACGAACCGAGAACTTGGAGATCCATTCTAGATCGTACCACGAATCTTGAGCGCGGTACTTTCCGTAGTTGGAACGAAAAAGTTTAACACGCGAGAGTGACAAGAAATTGAATCCCCTAATTGTGGAGGACGGCAATTAATCGATACCGGGGCCGACTAACGAATTGATTTCGACCTCTTTTTCGACGTGGTTCGTCCACGGTGATTAAAGATGCCCGTAAAATGTCCGGAACTAACCAGTGGCTGGCAGCTGCTGCGGCGTCGACGCCGGCGTCGGTGTCGGCGTCGGCTGCGGGGGGGTAAGAGGGTCGTTTCCGTGAACTCGATACAAAATCGACTTTTCTTTCGAAGCCACTTATACCGCGGGTCGCATCGCCGTCCTCGAATCTCCATTGCAAATCAGGAAAGCCGAATTCGCAGTTTGAAACGGTGATCGATAGATTCGGGCTCTTTACGACCTTATTTGGCAGGCTCTTCGGGCTAGAGATTGGCTCCTCCAGCGTTGGCGCTGCATAATCAAGATAAAGATTGGTTACTGCCCAGCTTCCATCGGGGCTCCTTTAGACAGGGAGAAAACCGGATACCGGAGGCTCTGCCAAGTTCGATTTGGACTCGGCATCGTCGTAACGGAGATTAGATTAGGTAGCGTTCCCTTTGGACCCTCCAGATGGAGAGATTGCTTTGTGAGCAGATCCAGGAACGCCGGTGGATCATGACCGGCGAAGAGTATCCACCCCTTCGTTTCGAAAAGAAGAGGCCACCGGCTATTAAATTAAGGCTTTAACTGCCTCTGGTTACCTTGAAAACAGTTCGAGTAAGTGCTACTGCATTTCGGACCGAGAGTTCCTCTTTTACTACCCAATGAGGAGTGGACTTTACCTTCTATCCTCTAATTCGATCCCTCGGTCACCGGCAAATTATATTACCACGTTGAATTACGTAGACGGGGTGGGCAACGCAATCATTTTCTAATTAGGCCACTGTGTTGCACGAATTCTATTTAACTTTATGATCTTTCGAGATCGAGCATAATTAACTTTATATTTATCAAGTAACACATGTTAATTCTTTTTTATTCAAAGAATAGAAAAACTAATACGTTTCATTCTATATTTCGCTATCGTACCCGTGATTTATCTATTTTGAAAAATGACGCAAGTCGTCAACTTTTTAAGCTTAAGAAGATCTTGACGTGTGTTCGCAACTGCTGATTTTTCCTACAAAAAGCAACGAAGTTTGGAAAGTGAGAGACGGACGTGTGTGAAATTATACGACACGTGTAGTCGACCACCCTGCGTATCACCACGACGACATTTACTGGAACAGCTCTCGCGAAGGTTTGCTTAATTACCAGTAAATCCCGCGTCGTTCACCGAGCACATCAAGCAATAACACCCTATCGCGACAGTCTGGGATTTGCAATAACTTGATGGCTTGACGGCGCTGCCACCCTCGTTCGTTCCCGCGTCGGAAACTGCTTCGCATTCAAGGCAAACGCCTCGTCGACTGCCCGCAGCCTCTCGCACTCCGTCACCCCCCCCCCCCCCCCCCCCCCCCCAACCCCCCCCCCCCCCCCCCNCGCAGCATTTTTATTATAAAATGAGAAAAATACATTGATATAATAAAACATGAATTTATTTCGTGAAAATCGTATCGAGCCAATGCTTTCAACCTTCGCCGTGCATTTACAGAGAATCCGCGGTCCGGCCATAAAATATACAGAAGTATTCCTATAAAAGTGATTTGATTAAACAGAATGGAGAAGTCTTAATGGGGGGAAGCCTGCACTCCGGTTCAGAAATCACGAACCGAGAACTTGGAGATCCATTCTAGATCGTACCACGAATCTTGAGCGCGGTACTTTCCGTAGTTGGAACGAAAAAGTTTAACACGCGAGAGTGACAAGAAATTGAATCCCCTAATTGTGGAGGACGGCAATTAATCGATACCGGGGCCGACTAACGAATTGATTTCGACCTCTTTTTCGACGTGGTTCGTCCACGGTGATTAAAGATGCCCGTAAAATGTCCGGAACTAACCAGTGGCTGGCAGCTGCTGCGGCGTCGACGCCGGCGTCGGTGTCGGCGTCGGCTGCGGGGGGGTAAGAGGGTCGTTTCCGTGAACTCGATACAAAATCGACTTTTCTTTCGAAGCCACTTATACCGCGGGTCGCATCGCCGTCCTCGAATCTCCATTGCAAATCAGGAAAGCCGAATTCGCAGTTTGAAACGGTGATCGATAGATTCGGGCTCTTTACGACCTTATTTGGCAGGCTCTTCGGGCTAGAGATTGGCTCCTCCAGCGTTGGCGCTGCATAATCAAGATAAAGATTGGTTACTGCCCAGCTTCCATCGGGGCTCCTTTAGACAGGGAGAAAACCGGATACCGGAGGCTCTGCCAAGTTCGATTTGGACTCGGCATCGTCGTAACGGAGATTAGATTAGGTAGCGTTCCCTTTGGACCCTCCAGATGGAGAGATTGCTTTGTGAGCAGATCCAGGAACGCCGGTGGATCATGACCGGCGAAGAGTATCCACCCCTTCGTTTCGAAAAGAAGAGGCCACCGGCTATTAAATTAAGGCTTTAACTGCCTCTGGTTACCTTGAAAACAGTTCGAGTAAGTGCTACTGCATTTCGGACCGAGAGTTCCTCTTTTACTACCCAATGAGGAGTGGACTTTACCTTCTATCCTCTAATTCGATCCCTCGGTCACCGGCAAATTATATTACCACGTTGAATTACGTAGACGGGGTGGGCAACGCAATCATTTTCTAATTAGGCCACTGTGTTGCACGAATTCTATTTAACTTTATGATCTTTCGAGATCGAGCATAATTAACTTTATATTTATCAAGTAACACATGTTAATTCTTTTTTATTCAAAGAATAGAAAAACTAATACGTTTCATTCTATATTTCGCTATCGTACCCGTGATTTATCTATTTTGAAAAATGACGCAAGTCGTCAACTTTTTAAGCTTAAGAAGATCTTGACGTGTGTTCGCAACTGCTGATTTTTCCTACAAAAAGCAACGAAGTTTGGAAAGTGAGAGACGGACGTGTGTGAAATTATACGACACGTGTAGTCGACCACCCTGCGTATCACCACGACGACATTTACTGGAACAGCTCTCGCGAAGGTTTGCTTAATTACCAGTAAATCCCGCGTCGTTCACCGAGCACATCAAGCAATAACACCCTATCGCGACAGTCTGGGATTTGCAATAACTTGATGGCTTGACGGCGCTGCCACCCTCGTTCGTTCCCGCGTCGGAAACTGCTTCGCATTCAAGGCAAACGCCTCGTCGACTGCCCGCAGCCTCTCGCACTCCGTCACCCCCCACCCCCCCACCCCGCCCACAACTCCCTCGCCTCGCGCCCTATAGCACTCTCCTCACACCCCATTCATCGCTTTTTCCGTTGGCGGAGCAAGCATCCCTTACCGAGACCTCTTTCGGTGAATAAAATTGCCGGACCGAGGCTCGATGAACAATGGGGCTCGCTCTGCCTTCGCTAATGAAATTGTTTCCTAATTTAAATCCACTCCACGGTCTGAAGCGGCGCTGCTGGCACAAGCTGTTCCAAAGGGAAGAAGGGTAACTAACATTGACATTCGACGATTCGAGTTGACTGTTCAGGGGCGTGCAAGCCGATTCCAATTAAGTGCACTCGAACCGGGATTGCGAGCCCGTTCGTAACTCCGCAGAATTCGAGAACTGTTTATTCCCGGAGTATGTCCGAATTTCGGTCCGGGACAGTCTTTTCGCAGGAACGCAGAACACGGGAATGAGAGCGCGGCGTTAAGTGGTGTCGTGTTAAAATAATTATTGTTGGATTCGTTTCTGATGGATTTATGCATTCTTAGCAACAGCTATCGAAGAAATCAGCGAAATCGTATTTTAAGGCTTCATTTGCGTCGGTATCTAATGATTTGACTACTAATTTTTATGCAAAACGACAACTGACAACTTATGAAACTTTCGCGGTTCTTCGGAACTGTTTCAATCGGAACCGATATGTAAGAGAGCCTGGAACCGTTATTTTTGAAACATTTTCGATCTTTGGTACTTACCAACAAGTGGGCCCCTTTCCTTTTCTTTCATCGTTCACAGCACCATCGATATCTTTTAAATCCGAAAAGCACGTCGAAAATACCCTGAACTATTTGAGAGAAACCCAAGTATATATCGAAATCTAATTCTAGAAAATGTCCTGTCGCTAATAATAGCGAGAAAAAACGAAAAAGAAAAGAGTTTTGAGAAGGTAAATGATGCCACACGACCTTAAAATTCTTTAATTTTACAAAATCTGTGAAGTTAGTGGCGTTGCTGTCGAAACGTTGAATTCGTATATAATATACATCGGACGTCTCATCAATTTCTAGCTAAGAGCGAAAGCATGGCAGCGACGAAATCGCTAGGATAGCTTGGCCTAGTTGCGTGAGATAGCCAGTGTATTTAAAAAAAGATTTCGCATGTATCCGTGGAGTCGGCCGCGGGCGAAAACGGTGTCAGTTTCAACCGCATAGGACGTCCCGAGCTGGCCGGAGGACGTGATTAGTACGAGCCAAAGTCGCGGGCGTTTGTTAAAAAGTACGCTCGGTCACGCGAGCATCGCGTCAGCTCGGTTGCAGCAGGCGTGCTACACTTGACGCATCGGTGCGCGGGAATTCGTACCGGTAGATTTTGCAATTATTTATAACGAGGAAAGTTCCGCAACGGCCACGGGCCGGGAATCGGGTACGTTAATTGCACAGGATAATTATTGTTAAACGCCGCGCGTGACAAAGGATGATTCTGCTGTCATCGCGGGCCCCGACTAATTCGCCGCAGCTAGGATTGGAGAACAGCATTCGTCCACCGTCACGTTTCCCATGTAGAACTTTCCCCCGGAGACTCTTTCCTCGAACCGACCGAATTTTCGAACTCTGCCATGAAAATCTGTCCGTAGCGTTCGCGCGCATTGAATCTGTTCCACAATTCGCAGGCATCTGTGTGTCAAGAGGTCACTTGTTACGTCGCACGCCACGACAATGGCGAAGATGCATTCTATTCTTGGGCGAGAAAATCGAAGGTCGCTGTTATGTTGCCACGATACAATGGGAGAGTCCCGCAAAATGTGAGAATCTAGCGTTAAAGTGTTTCGCAATCCAGTAACGAGTAACTAAAAACTACACAGAGCCGTTTACATGGTAAAAATAAGAATCTAGGCATAACCATGAAAACGGTATTTCCAGTTTGCCGCGGTCGTAATCTAATTCAACGAGATCCGAGTAATATTCAGTTTTGACGATCCAACATTTGTATCGTTTCTTTATTTCACGAAATGGTCGGGAGGACATTCGAGAGGAATGCGTGTAGCTATCGCTTAATACCTGTTCAATATAAATTGGTTACCAATAATCGACTTCGGGCAAACATTGTTAATGTAACGAGCCGCGGCGGCCGATACGTTCGAGTGACTAATTGCAATTTAGATCGATTCATCAATGCGATACAAGCGTAATAGTATTAAATTCTGTAACAACAACGTGCCGCCTTTAAATGGCATTAAAATTACACTCGGCATTCGTTTCGGAACAAACGCGACGCATTTCTGAAATGATTGGCGCGCGTGTTATTACAAAACAACGATCGGCGCAGGTAACGCGAACGAAACGTGCCATCGCGGAATTGCCGGGTCTATTCAAATGGCATTATACTGCGAGGTAATTTCATGGAAGCATACTGGTCGATCTTTGTTCGCACGATCAACAGCCTCTGTTTACATTTTTGCGGATAGGACAACGGTTTCTAAAGAATAGCTGATTTAATTGTATCGCAAGACAAAACGTTCGATATCATCGTTATCGAAAATATTCCCATAACATTGCAAATAGAAATATCGTATTCTTAAAACGGCGACACTTTTCAATTTTCTATTTCAGGATTATTGAAATTGCAGAGATACTTTTATAGAAAACGATTAACCAAATTTCTTTATTTAGACATATGTGTGTGTTACAATAAAATGTACATAAAATGGTTAAATAAATGCAATTCTACATTAAATAGTTTATTCTTAATTGTATCGAAGTTCTTAACGCTATTCGTATATCATTATTAACCTTATCACTAATTATTAATAATATTCTGTATTTCTTTGGATTTAAAATTATACTAATCTTTTCTGTGAATGAAGATATACAATGTTTTTTTCCTTTCTGATAAAAATTATATCTGTTTATTTGATATTTTCATCGCATACTTAGCGTATAAATTAATTGTAAGCTTTTAACTTTACGTCTTAGTTCGATCAAATAACTATCGATCACTGGGCCTAAGTGTTCGATAACTGGGACATGCGTATATTTTTGTCGAATCAAAGGACCATCGAAACAGTCTCACATTTGATACGATTAACGGGTTTCATACCTTACAAAGGTTTCTTTTGACATAGATTTTGAGAAAAGGACCTTTCCAGATAAAGCTATCCACATATAAATAATAATTCTTTCGTTAATCGTCGAATCACTGGAACATTTACTCTAATAGCGATGGCTGCCCTCGTGTCCGTCACCATAGCTTTTCGAGTAGGAGCTGTGACTTTCGTAAGAACCATCTCCACCGTCTCCGATGCTGTGGCTTCCGCCATGACCGTAACTCGAATATTCTGGTCCATGATCCGTGTAGTGTGCACCGTCGCCTTGGCTGTAACTTTCGTGGTCGCCGACTTCGTCGTGTTCATCGTGACGACCTATCCCGTCGGCAATGTAACGACTATCGACGATGGTACCTGAACAAATTTAAAGCATGATTCCTGAACAAGCCGGAAACAATATCCCCGGAAAGCGTGTTAATCGCACTTAACTACGAAATAATTAGCGGAATGATTGATACGTCTGCTTAATAGTGTTAACCAACCGGTAGAATTCTATCGGCGATCGATGCGAGCAATTCCGTGAAGAAAGACTGTGATTGGCGTTTACCGAATTGTGTTATGTAACCGGAAGTCTGAGTCCGAAGAGAAAGAAGGAAGAAGAAGTTTCAGGCACAAACTTCTCGTGGAGGATTGTGAAAAATGAACGACGCGCTTCTGCACCGCGATCATAATGTCAATATTCTCTTAGAACTTTTTCGGAAGAATTACAATTAAATGCGAAACCACACTGTGACTGCGAACTTCGTCGAAATTAATTTTTTTGAAAAGAAACTATTACGATACGTGTGATATTCGATGCGTTTTACATAGCTGATATAATATAGCAGCGAACGCAAATTATCGTGTAAAGTCGATATCCCACCTCTCGAACATCATTAAGGCTGGACATTTAAAAATTCACGTTCCCGGGTTTGCAAATTAGCCAGCTTATTTTCTTAAAACCACTATTCCTTATCAATTTCATTGATCGCAATTCTTTTTCGCGAAATTACTTTTACGAAACATGCAGCGTGCAATACGTTCGACACAGTTAAATTCAAGCTGCGGCAAGTGCGGAGGATCGAGCAAAGTTGATCCTACACCCCCAGCATCATTAAGGCTGGTCAATTAAAAATTCATGTTCTCGGGTTCGTAAATTAGCAAGCAGCGCCGCTTTCCAGCTTCGTTCCGTTGTTCTACCCTAGTTCCCGGACAGTTGCGCGCTGTACATTGCGCATCGAGCGTATAGTTCGGTAGTACCTACCAGCGCCCTCGTGATCACCGCCTTTCCGTGAACCGTAGCCAGCATCTTGGTCGTGGTGGTTACTTTTCTTGTCGGCGCGCGCTTTGCCGAAGGCAGCGTGCTTCTCGAATGCGTACTTGTCGCCGTCCCGCTTGTGGAAGGTGTCGAGAGTCTTATAGCCGTGATTGCCCTTGCCGTAGGTTGCCTTCGTGTAACCCTTTTCACCCTCGGCGTCGCTACCGTACGTCTTGTAGTATCCTCCCTCGTCCGATTTCCCTAAAACCACCATGTTACTCGTCCTCGTTATTGCCCGCGATACCGCCAGCCCCGCGCAATCTCGACAGAGAAACGTTGAGCTTCGTTTTCGGCGAACCGTTCTACTTTGTCCCTTACTCTTGACTTTGCTCCGATAGAGTTTTAACGAAATTCCGAGCTGCACGAACTACGAATAAATTCTCTCCTATTTCGAGCGCAAAGGCCACGGTCATTTGCATTCGAGCGGAATAAGCTGTCTGGCGAAAAAACACACGTTCGTTTCACTTATCTGTGCGAGATATAGGAAAAGCTTCGTTCGGTGTATCGCGCATATTTTCATGACTTCCGAGATCTCATCATTTTTTTAGCGAATTCCTTTTATACGGATGATATTTCGACGAATGATATTTTTCTTGAAACATTGACGCGTGAACTTGTAATCGGTGTTGGGCAAAATTCATTCGATCGACGAATAACGAATAGAAATAAAATTTTTCATCGCGAATGACGAATAACTAAATTCGTGCTCATAAATACATAGAAGGAACGTTAATGTTAAATCTTTCCATAAATAAAATAATATTTGCTTCGATTAAATATTTATAGCAATTATGGATCAATGAACGCATATGTACGTGTTCATTCGTAGTTAGTGAACCTTTTCACATGGAAAATCAATCATCGCGTAGTTATTACTTTTATAAAACATTGCTGTTCCTTTCTTTACGAACTTTCGTATTTTTATAATACAAAAAGCAATAAAATATCAATTAAGTATTTCGCTTAATACAGAAATAAAAAATTATTATATTTCAAGCGTAGCATATGTAACACGGTACAAGGAAATAGTATTTACGCAGATATTTGTATTCCTTACCTAGTTGAAAATTATATCGCTGATAAATAGGAGAAAATAAATGTATTCACGTACCAGACATATTTTTCTGTTTCCGTTTCGGAGCATTTCCTTCGCCGAGAAGGTCTTCGACTTCGGTAGCAACGGCTAATGGCGATTCGCGAACGGCTCGCCGATTCGACCGAATGCTTTGGTTATCGTCGGAAGGCGACTGTTCACGGAACGCGGAGTAAGTAGAAGCGCAATGAGCGAAAAGGGCCAACACGATCAGACCACGCCACATGCCGCCGATGATCCTGATTCACCGATCTCGATCTCGATTGTTTGTTGGCTAACTTCTCGGAGACTGCTTTATCCGCATCCTCCCACTCGGCTCTGGCGCGAATTTTCTTCCGGGCAGAAGGGATGTCGAGGTAGACGCCGGAGAAACAAGAAATTTCGCAACGACCTCGGCCACCGAGTTTTCGAATGGACTGCAACTTGCTTCTTTGCGACGCCGTTGTTGTCGAAATCGGGCCAGCCAAAGAACTACCCGGAATTTATTTGCGGCGGCAAGACCGACCTGGAAGTTTCGTCGACGGTTAAAGTTTCGCGTTGGCAGGGGAAACGGAGTTTGTTTAAAATATACTTGATCGCTCGACGCATTATTTAGGCGTACAATCACTGACAAAAGTTCAGTCGCCAAACGTTTACGTGTAATTAACAGAACATCTACCGAACGATGATTTCATCGTTTCTGAGAATCTACAATTCACAGTTGAGAACTTTTTAACGAAGTGTTCGGTTGCAATAGCAACTTCGATAGAGCACCAACAAATTATCCCGGTAATACGGACCCCGATGAGCGGTCGAAGCTCGGTTTCGTTGATCGACTCGACCGCCTAGCGCCGGGCGAGCTCGTCTCCCATTGGTCGCTGCTTTTCGTTAATAACTTGTCAACGAAGCAGGTATACCCTTTCCAGCTATTAATATAATTACTGGAGAATCTGTATATCCTTAACGTGGCCACAACCGGCAAATATCTCGTTGAAAAGCAGAATTCTTTGGGAGAGCTTTCGTTAACAATTATAGTTAATTTTACAGATAATATTACTAATAAAATGATGAACACGCGCGCGGATACGAATCTGGTAAATGTATGAAATTAATTTGAATGATTCGAATTAATAATGCATTTTGATCCGATAAACCGGAATGTTACGATGTGGTTAATAATTGGGTACAATTTCCAGCATGAATTGCGTGAACACGAGTACAACATGTACGTAGAATAATATCGAAGTTGAGTTCCCGAAGAAAAATTGTGCGAACATGAAACATGCAATTATTACCTTTCGTGTTACACGAGTCACGAGACAATGAACTATTGAATTTACCCATGGAATACATTACTACGTATAGTTCGATATAATGAAGATATTCGCCAAATGTGCCAAATGTTTACATCTGAACTGGGTGCAATATAGGTGCAATATACAGAGTGTCCCGCATTATCCGTACATACTTCGGCGGTGTGTCCTACAAGTAGAAAAAGAACTGAAATGTTACATCGCAAAAGGTCCATAAATGCTTTGTTACGAATCTATACGACAGAAATACAAAATATTATTTAAACACTACCGAATCTCCATTTCAATGACGAGTTCTTGAATCATTGATTTTACTTGGTTGCGATTTTGTCTAATCTCTTCGCAAGCGATATTGATTTTTTAAATTGTATACATTGGTGGTATCGTATCTTTCACATTTTTTATTTTTCTCATAACTTTTTAACAACGCATTTATGAGCTTTTTGTTACATGACATTTTTACTTGTAGAACACACTGCCGAAGTATGTGCGGAAAAATGCGGGACACTCTGTGTAATATTATTCGTTAGGGACTAAATATTTTTATTTAGTTACGATTATCGATAATTAAACCGGAGAAATCCGTATCATCGAAATATTTCATTGTATTGAACGTGCATATATAGCGAATATGCATTGTACATTCAATTACGCGTTGATAATATAAAATTCAAAACAGGAGGTAACATATAATGGACGGTAAAATATTATATTCATCGTTATAAATAACTGATCCCGAACTGTACGCAAAACACATATAAAATCGTCCTACGTCCCCGTCCTATGTCATACTGTTTTAAACAATTGACTCGCTTGGATTATTGGGAAATTATGAGACAAACAGAAATTTGGAAAAATACGAAGCATAAACACGTGATATCAAAGCGGAATGATATTCCAGAGGTTTTAACATACAATATGGGATCCAGTGCTTTCCCGACAAATTGTGACGAATTTAACCATCGTGTAAAAATTACAAAATAATGTTCGGCAACAGATGTTGCGTTACAAATATGTAAACAAATAAATGCAATAAACGTACATTTAGTACGTTTAATAACGAATTTACGATTGCAGCATACGGAAGGCTAACATCGTTTATTTTGTCAGTTATGCGAAGGATTCGATGGAAATTATATGGAATAATATATATTATATATATGAACAACTCGATATTTATAAAGAAATCGTCGATTAACCGATAGCGTACGAGCGAACGTTAATTTACGAAGAGCAATTAATCGATAGAAATATTTCTCACTCGATCGTCAGAAATAACTTGCCAGAGGTGTCTGTACCGATCGCGTATCTACGCCGAAATTTTCTATCGCCACGAAATTGCTTTCCGCGGGAGCCGTTCGACGTAGGTTTTCGTTCATCCGATGAAAAGAGTTGCCAAGCCCGTGTCAATGGGTCCGACGGTTGTCTCGTGGAGGAACAAGGAACGTCCGCTAAATCGGATGAATTTTGTCGGCGGGACGCGTGCCGCACGAACGATTTCACGCTTTCCACGCTGGCGTAGCGTCGCCGCGAGATCAACCGATACGACGATCGGCTGACATAACGCCCGCTGCGGCGTGAAAGCGTTCCCGCTTCTTGCCATCGGCGGATCGACGCAGGACTTCTTGCTCGCGCGGAACCGTATCTCGGCCGTGCATTGTCTCACGCCTGTCAGAGACGTTTCAGTCGGCCGATTGTTACGCGAGTGACCATTCTTTGCCCGGTTTTTGCTGAAATGGCATCGGGAATGCTGGGAATTATGTAACAGCGCGATTACGTCGATTTGGTAGTCGTGTCTGTTGATTCGAAACGTTTCGGCCAATGATTTTGTCGCTTGTTCGAGTAAAAATTCAATTTGATCGTGTAGAATTTCGCATAAAATGGTCCCCGATGTGAAACGAGTCGAACAGTAGTTAATTCGCTGGTTAACGCGTTAAAGAATTCATCGGTCATATTCATCGCTTCCGATCAAGCGTCGCGATTGCTGCATGGTACGATTCTCCGACGGTAATTTAATATGTAGTTACCAAGAATTTCTACTTTGAATAGTATGCATGACTCGAGATCATTCTTGTCGAGGATAAAATGTCGCCCTGCGGAATGCAGTCCATGGGGCAAGGGAATTTCAGTCATCCGGCGAGCCACGAGCATAATTCTTCTTCTCCTCCGGAAAATGAAAGAAAAGGAGGACGAGGACAAAGAACGGAAGCGTCAGAGGCGTCGACATAATCGAGCTTAAAACCGCGCGAACCGCCCGCCGCAAGCCGACGCTAAGCGCCTTGGATGGTTGCTACGCCAGCTACTTTCCATCGAGATAATCCGGTAATTTAAAAATCTTGGACGGTATGTAACTCCCTGAAACGGCTCGCCATCTTGTCCATGCTAAGACCGTCGTTCTTTCTGCCACTGTCACGTTCCCCGGGCGTCACACTTAGTACTGATTAGAGGCGACGCGACGCTAAGGCACGCATCCGAATCAAGGGATATCAAGCATATTACCTTAATTAATGCGAGACTCTAATCCATTAACTCCGGAACGGCCGAATATCCGGCTCCCTCTTGGGAATCGAGGCTGGGTCATCTCTGACTCGTATTAACCCCTTGCGCTACGATTTCTTCCACGGCTATGCCGACGAGCGATTCTTCGCTCTTATCAATTTCTCTCAGAAAGAACATATCCTTCCAGCGAAGAATTAAATTTTATTTGCGATTGAGAAGGAATTAATCAGATTCGTATTTAGTAGATTATGTGCGAAATCTTGGTCACGAGTCTGAGTCGTTGTTATACGTAGCATTCGCAGAAATTGAATTCGACGATTTCCTTTGTGCCGGAACGCACGGTTTTACCAAGTATTCGAAATCTTTCCGACATGAAATTCGAAACCGCCAGATACGAGGTCCGTGAAGGTAGGTCGAGATAAAAAATTCCATGAAAAATTGCAAACATCCGTACAGCGAGACGTTTCCCGGCGATGGGAAGGATTTCAATGGATTTGCGAAGCCGCGCGAAACTCGCGTACCAGTGGTCCGTGAAGGGATGCGCGAGCGAAGGGCGGCTTTCTTAAAATGACTCACGGCTGGGCGAGCAGTAATTCTCGCGGGGTGCGAAGTATTCGCAGTATGCAAGAGAGATTCGACGTGTGTAATCGATAGCAGTTGGATCGTTGACGTCGCAGACGACCTAATGTATTCGGCGCCGCGGGTATCGACGTACACGTGTCGTTATGCATGCAGATGTACGTTACGACACGTGACTCCGCGTCAGGGTTGCGAATCCGCCTATGAGAAATAGATCCGCGGCAGTTGCCTCGCGTTATTTCGCAAGAATGCCTGTCGTTTTCCCAGACTGTGCATCGACAATCGCGGGACACGACACGACATGTGTATGCTGGGCCGGCTCGATCGGCTCAATTTTTCCGACTCGGCCAGCTCCGGGCCGAGAAAATGGAGCAGGTAGAACGACGAGACTGTGACCGCGCTGCATAGCGATATATTATAATATTATAATAATACAGAGGGACATATATTACGTGTCGGCATTTTTAAAATAAAGAATATTAAAAATACATTTTAAAGAGTGGAGTATATATTCGTCTTATCTGAATGCAATACAATATTAAGAATAATACTTATTCCGAGATATCGAGATATTACTTTCAAATTAGGGATAACTTGGAAATGTTTTGAATACATTCAATGTCGGAATAAATCCTTCTACGTTGTCGAAATATCACACTGTGCGCCGGGAATAAATCGCGGGCGATGTTTACTTTTAATTTCATTACACTGAAATGGACTTAGCGGTTTTAATAAAGCGTCGCTCGTGAAAATTGCGACGCTCTGCTCCCCGGGAAACGCACCCCCTCAGACTCTTGTCTTTTATTTCCCCTCGCATGCGCAATTTTTACCCTGCGGTCCCTTTATTCGCGTTGTTTGCTCCCTCGGTTCCGCCGAATTTCATTGTGGGATGAGATACCGACAATGAGAGTCACACATTGTTCTCAGGGAAAAAGTTAACGCATTACTTGATGCTTCCTTAGCTTTGTTTGTTTTGCGATTGGTCATTTTTATAGGTCATTATATTCGTCTTGAAAAGCGCCAACACCTATAACAAAATGATTAACATCTCGTTATGTGCCCCTCGAAATTAAGTAACTTTTGTCTGCCT